GTACACCTGCTCCGCAGGATATGAATATGCGAAAGATTGGCACACAGCTGTGACCTACTCTAATGTGTCGACACATATAGGTTATAGCGCGCAAAAGCTGGTGAAGCCCGCGCAGCGTGGAGGAGATCAAAGCAGTTCATTTGCGGTCCATTGCCGCTTCCGCAGGAGCAACGCGACGGCGAGAAAAACGCCGCCGACGGCGGCGGCGGCGGCGGCAGCAGCGGCAGAGTCTCCTCGCAAGCTCCGAGTCGCGGGGAGCGCTCCAGCGTTCACGAGCGACGGCAGCCACGACGGCGGCGCGGCTTCCCCTTCGAGCGACGAGCCGTCGGCAAGGGCGACGACGCCGCGCGAGCCGGGGTGGTGGAAGGAATAGCGAGGCGACGGGAGGATGGCCGCCCAGCGGCCAAGCGACCCTCCAGGGATGCGCTCGAACGGCGAGAACCAGCTGGAGGGCGCGATGGGCGGCGAGGGCGGCGGCGCCGGCCTGGGCGGAGGTGGAGTGCAAGTGTTGCAGGTCAGGTTGTTGAGCGGGCAGCCGTCCAGGGAGTCGACCTTGTACAGCCTGGCGGGGCGCGAACCGGAGTCGACGGGAGGCTTGGCAGCAGCCGCGGGGTGGAGGCTCGGTCACCCCTGCCAGCCCTCGTACACGCTGTCGTACTTTTTGCTGAACTTGAATGTCTTCGTGCAGGGCTGGTCGGGCCCGTGCTCGAACACACAGTCCACGCACGGCCAGCCTGAGCTCTCGCCGTAGAGCGCCTGCACGACATGCGACGGCGAGTTCACGTAGAGGTCGCGGTCGCACGCGCACGCCAGAGCGAGCCCGACCATCGGCGGAGGCAGCTTCTCCACCACCCCACACAGGTCGTGCCGCCTGCATGCGCCGTCCTGGGCGTCGACGACGCACTCGCCCGACCAAACGGACGGCGGGTTGCCGATGCCGCACCACCGGCTCCCTGTGAGGCCATACTCGATGTCGCGCACCCACTGGGGCGCGTAGCCGTTCTTC